GCTTATATCGCGGCGGTCTGTAGCGTAATCGAGTCTGGACCAGACAATCCTGTGATCAACAGCATGAGCATCGATCTGCGCGGTGGGAACCGATGACGTAGTGTCGAAACCAAGTCAGCGAGCCTGACCACCAAATCCCGTTAGTCGCCTCATTACGACAAGCATGAATAGTCGCCTTTTATGGCAGAAGCATGGGTTGCTGAAGACCTATTCTACCCCGGATCTTCACGGGTCCCCCACCATAGTAGGTATGGTGGGATCCAGCATGGTGTATCAAGCGCGTTCTATCAACCTAAAGATCCGAGTTCGATTCTCCATAAGAGTACAGTGAGTGAGTGAGTTTGGTTTTACGCCGCTTTTAGCAAGCAATATTCCAGCAATATCACGACGGGGACACAGAAATGGGCTTCACGCATTTTGTCCGTAATGGGGACTCGAACCCGGGTCTTCGGCGTGACGAGCGAACGCTTTAACCACTAGGCTACCCACCGCTCCCCTAAGAGTACAGAGTATGAAGCTGTAAAGCCTATACCCTAACAAATTGTGCCCACTCTCCTATAAATCAATTATACCTACAGACATTTAAATATACAATTTCGAGATGGAGACAATTTACTTATCAAAACAAACACATTATGTAACCGGCAGTAAACTGAAACGATGTAAAACGTTATTTGTGAGAACATAAACCTAACATCAGCCAAGCTCTCTTTGTCGTATAGCGGTTTATATTGTTAAGTTATGAAAGACTAAACCATGTACTGAATTGCGTCTCTGTCAATCGAATTCTACTAGTAACGCGCCATGCCAAAATCGATGAGTTCGCTGTGACTATTCCGTCGTTACACCATCATTACATTGACAATACAATTTCACAACCCGTAAACCTACACATTCAAATCGATGTCATTCCACAGCACATGTGTCTAATGTGTCCTTCACTATTCATAACACAGTCAGGCCTATACTGAAAGAAGGGATATGAACAAGGTTCGACTGACGTTTTAAATCGACATTTTAGCACACTTTTGACATCTGCTATTGCTCATCATGTTATACTTCAAGCTGGGAGAGACCGAGCCCTGTGAATACTGTTCTCTAGGACCTAGTCAAAGAGACACTAAGAATCTAAAAATTATATAGTAAACTTGTGGAAAAATCCAGGCACACTACGGCAAGCTATATGCTTACCAGCAAGACGACGTCTTTACGGTTTCACATTTTGCCATATTTACCGGCCTTTCTTTAGGTTTTTCCACGTAATGCACGTGCGTGCAATGTCGGAAACATGAGTAGAGACATCGACTATAAAGCGAAACCAAATTCATCATTTCATTACAGAACTTACGACGTAAACGAAGATAAAACGTCCGAGACTGAAGCTATTGACCGAAATATCGTCATTGGACGTTCGGAAGCGCAGGTTAGTCCCAGTCTGCCGTTGCAAGACACTGAACAACGTCCAACACAGAACCATATCTCGATTATGGCATCGATATGCCTCTTCAATTTGACCCAAAATCGTCCAGAAGTGGAATACCAAAGGTGACCACACCTGTTCATCCGGGTGTTCAACCTACGTGACCGACTTGATGCAGCAACGGACACTGTAGGACAGGTGCCTGGTCTTCGAAGAATTTCCGACCAAACCATCGAAATCGTCTGAGAGAAGCTGGAATTCGAGCAAAAAGTTGGACCTGTCCTGTCACGACTACACCGACAACAAAGAGTATCAATGGTGCAACAGGGTACAGGCATGGAATCTGTAGCCACGCGTTTTGAAGGCGTTTGGTTCAGCGATTATGAATCGCGTTTCCTCCTCACAACGACGGGATGGGGACAACGTGTCTGTCGACGCGTAGACACGAACATTTTGCGCCAACTGCGTTCGAAATGTGGAGAGATTAGGTGGAGAAAGCGTCATGGTGTGGGGAAATGTCCTACAGCGGGAATACGTTCACAGGTAATTGTGCTGAACAAAATCACTGCTTTCGTGTCGTCGACAGTTTGTAACGTAAATGATAAAACAAGCAGTGTAAAGTCACTATTGTCCACCTTTGTACAGATACAGTGCGCAGGCAGAATAAACTGATATTTGACATGCGCTGACAAATAAATGGAACATAATTATTTTACCGATTCGCCAAGCAGTGGCCTCCTTTTCTTTTTATATTTAGATCTGTTCATAAAGATCTAGAGTGGTTTGGCACTCTCCACAGGAGAATGTGTGACAAGGGGTTAATTTCAACTGTCAATAACCAACTTGCCTGTTATGTGGTGCAATATTCCTGCAGCGCAAACTTTGGTATCTACACGTTCGTTCCAACAAGAAGGTACATTCCAACACGCTAAAAGTTTCCAAGTTTTGCTCAAACGTTATTTCATCAAGAATACAACATTCAAGGCCAGTGCATAGCCTTGGTATTTAGATTCAATAACTTGCTCTATTTAATGTTATCGTTTGGAAAACGCGTTCATGACGCGTTCACTGGATTGTCGTGAGTGAACTCGATTATGTACTTACTACTCACATATAGCTGTACATATCATACGGCTTAAATACAAACCAACAAAGAAACAAGTTGACGAATGTATTCCACAATGGGCTACATTTATAAGCTTAAGCTTCAGTTATCTATTCATATCGTTTTCACTCATGAAGATATTCGGGTTAGATCTTCGCCAACCTGTGCTTGTCGGAAGAGTGATTGACTAAGCATGCTTCTACGCCGCTTTTAGGAATATTCCAGCAATATCACAGGGTACAAGAAATGGGCGTCACACATTGTACCCATGTTTGGAATCAAACCCGGGTCTGTGGCGTGAGGAGCGAAGGCTTTAACCACTAGGCCGATTGTCGGAGGAGGCGAATAATGGCTTTGGGTGGTCAGGCTAACTGATGATGAATGTCATTTTCTTTTGTGAATGAGGAAGGTAACACATTTACATATGTTGTTCGTCTGTAGGTACATGACAACCATGGTAAAGTCTGAGTCGTGTCAAAGCTAATTGAAAATGGTCTTTCAGAACCTTTAGCAACATTAATATTTTATGACCGTTTCAGTTATTTTTGGCCCGCTTTATGAAGAACTAAAGAGTGAGTGAGTTTAGTTTTACGCCGCACTCAGCAATATTCCAGCTTTATGGTGGCGGTCTGTAAATAATCGAGTCTGGACCAGACAATCCAGTGATCAACTAAATGAGCATCGATGAAGAACTAAGAATGATGGCGACTGATCAGACATGATCATGGCGGTATTTCAGCAATATCGTAACTATGAAAGTTGTAAATTTATAAAAGAATAAAAACAAACGTAGATAATATAATTACCTGTCTGCAATGTACAGTAAAATAATTAGAATATTACAGTTTTAAATGAAAAACTAGCATGAAAATCTAAAACATATTAACTTTGAAAAGACAATGCACTGTAACTTATACACAGACATAACTGTCATCAGACCTCATTTCGACGTTGAGACACGACACGCCTTTCAACAAAATACAAAGTGAATGACATTGCATTTGAAACATACAATACACGCCCATCCCTATTATCTGGTGAGTGAGTTTAGTTTTACGCCGCACTCAGCAATATTCCAACTATATGGCGGCGGTTTGTAAATAATCGAGTCTGGACCAAACAATCCTGTGATCAACAACATGAGCATCAACCTACACAATTGGGCACCGATGACGTATGTAAAACCAACTCAGCGAGCCTGACCACCCGATCCCGTAAGTCGCCTCTTACGACAAGCATGGGTTACTGAAGATCAATTCTAGCCCGGACCTTCACGGGTACCCCGATTATCTAGTTTCGACGTAGCGTATTGTTGTTCGTAGAATTGACCACAGCTTTATGGCGGCTGGCTGTAAATAATCGACTCTACACTTGCTTGATAACGGTAATAGGATCTACACTGAAACGTCAAAAACGGTAAAGAAGTTGTCTCTCCATAAAAAGTGTTCCTCGTCGAGTCCAGACCAGACACTTCAGTGATTGACATCATGAGCATCGATCAACACAATTGGGATACGATGACATGTGTCATCAAGGTCAACGAGCCTGACCACCCGATCCCGTTAGTCGACAAGCATGGGTTGCTGAAGACGAATTCTAACCTGTGCGTCTCTTAGCAATCTGACGAAAAGGGCGGCACAAGGATATAAGCTGCATGTAGACGATTCCTAATCGTCTGCCCCGTGACACGTGTTTCAGTGCGTGGGTTTAGTTTTACGCCGATTTTAGCAATATTCCAGTAAAATCACGGCGGGGGACACCAGAAATGTTCTTCACTCATTGTACCCATGTGAGGAATTGAACCCGGGTCTTTGGCGTGACGAGCCAACGCTTTAACCACTAGGCTACCCCATCGCCCGGACACGTGTTTCAGTAGCCTGGTGACCCTTTGCTGTCATCATGTTTCAGTTCGGTTTCTTAGAGCCTGGTTTCTTGTCAATCATGTACCCTTGTGGTGAACGGGGTTGACCGCCAATATCTGGACTTTGCTGGCACCAGTTCAATACTCGGTCTGCTAATCAAATACTGTGAAACACTGCACTACAACGACTTAAGATGCTCACGTGTTGCAGACGCTAGAGTTCATAAACACACAAACAAGGCATGACATTAACTAAACCACAAGGTGTGGTAAGCAGAATCAATAAGTTTAACAGAAACAATAGTCAACGAAAAGTATTCGATCTACCTTGATGGTGACAAAATCGGGAATGGCAACTGTCGGATTAGTAGAATATTTGTTAACTTTTCCTTTGTTTTAAGAATTCGAATGTAGATTTTAGATCGTGATCCCCTACGTTTTAGAGAATACATATACATCAAGTACTGAATGCTGAAATATACCTAAAACAATATACTAATAATAGTAACTAAACAAGTCAAATTCAACAGGTATTGAATTTAATACTTAAATTTATCGGAAAAACAAGTCGCCCAAACGCAGTCCCGTGCACCTTGTGTTCCTCACGTGGTTGCCCGCGGTATATATAAACGGGCATGACGCGCTCACTCAGAACACGTGCCGAATTTGAGCTGAGACAGTTGCGGTAAGATTTTGAATATTTTGTTTCTAACGAAACTAATATTTATATTGCATGAAATGAACACTTCGAATACAAATATGAAGTGCAAGAATGAGCAAGATGAACAGTTTCTCAGAAATATTTGTCGTATCAAATGTATTTTTATAATATATTTTCATTTATGTGTGGTTTTTGCTTTTGTTTTGTAGTCCTCAAAGACGAAAATGTCCGCTCGTATGGCTATCTTGGCGATTCTTAGCTTCATGGTCAGTAAAATGTTTTTACAGCCAAAAACAGTGGTAAAATAAAAACACTTTTAAAAGCAATTGACTTTCAAATTTGCTTCAATATTTGTAGGCGGGTACATCTTGGCACGCAACATGTCATCGTATCTCAGTTGCGTACATCGGTGCTCATGTTCTTGATCACTGGACCCGTGAAGATCCGGGTTACAATTGATCTTCAGTAACTCGTGCTTGTCACAAGAGGCGACTAACGGGATCGGGTGGTCAGGCTCGCTGACTTGTTGACAAATGCCATCGTATCGTAATTGCGTAGATTGATAATCATGCTGTTGATCACTGGATTGTCTGGTCGACTCGATTATTTACAGACCAACACCATTATAGCTGGAATATTGCGTTAAACAATCGACCAACATTTTGACAATACATTAATCTTCAAGTGCAATCCAAGAGGTCACTCCAGGAGTAACGCAATTTGTTGTTCTGAGAATGACATAGGAACCGTGTAAAGCTATAATATAAAGTATCTACAGCTCGTTCAGCTTGACCTGATCAAGTGAATACTAATGCATTGCGTGACCGTGTCTAAACTGGTTGGGTCTATTATTGTGAAGGGGCGCATTGATTGTCAACATGTCCGAACAGTGGAGACAAGGTCGCCGTTTGACACCTCAATGTCGAGAAATCGTCAGCAATGTCCTAACTTTCTATAACAAAGAAGCTTCAGATGGTTTATTGTTTCCGATTGGAGCTTTTAGGCAGCGAGCAGCAACATTAATAACATGTTTTGCTCCCCTATTTAATGAAGTTAACTCTACCCGCCGTTTGTGCCATTTGCCCCCGGGTCATGCATATGTAGAGTAGCTCAGGTCAAGCTGAACAACCTGTAGAAACATTTCTCCAATTCCCGTTTTGTCACCATTGGTGACATTATGTCGGTCAGGTACCCTGAACATTATGTAAAGTACATCATGGTGTTTATGGAGATACAACTCTACGTACATCTGCAAAACAAATCAATATAATGCGAAAAGGAGTTATTTTTTGCGACACACCTCGATAAAGTCCCGCGTTGAGTTGAACAAGGGCAATACTGTACATCAAACGGAACTTAATATCAGTTACATTCTGTGCGCTTGAATGAAACCTCTGCTGCCTGATCAAGAACCAGATCTCTGTATATGTATGTCTTTTGTATTTTCAGGCTACCACCGAGGCAGTTGTTCCACCGGGAAATATAATGGACAGTATGTATCCGATGTATACATTACGATTTTAGTGATATTTGAATGTGAACATGTCAAAGACGCGTTCTATATATACTCAGTCAAAAAAGAAACTTCATACTCGTTTGGAGGTCGATAAGTTGAACATACATGAAAAGAGGTTCCAAATAATGATTTTATTCCATTCTGTATCCATTAAGGACGGTGTACCATAAAAATCATGTTCATAATGTGACCAGTTCCACCGGAAATGCTACGGAAATGTAAGAGTAAAAATGGTAAGTTACAACTTGATGAAAGCGTGTCAATAGCGCGTATGCCCTCCATGAGCGTTCACAATTGCGACGCAACGTCTCATGGATTTAATGATGCGTCTGAACACAGCTTGGGGGATGCGTCGCCATAATTGTACCAACATGGCACCAAGTTCCTGCAAATTCTGTGGAGGGTTCCTTACTTGACGGAGTCTTCTGCCCAACACATCCCATACTTGTTCTATGGGATTAAGGTCGGGAGACCTTGAGGGCCACTCCATGACATTGATGCCAGCATTCCTAAGAAAATTCCGCGTTAAATTGGCCGTATGAGATCTGGCATTATCGTCTTGGAATGTCAGACCTGGGCCATGAGCTGCCATGAATGGCAAAAGCTCTGGAATAAGCACTTGATCCCTATATCCTGCAGCAGTTAGGTTTCCTTGAACGACAATCAGTCTGGAACGGGCAGGACCATTAAATGCACCCCAAACCATAACACTACCGCCCCCAAAACGGTCCACTTCCTGCACACAACACTGGGCGTTGGGTTCACTGCGTCTCCTCCAAACTCTAACTCTCCCATCAGCGAAGTGCAAATTGAATCTGGATTCGTCACTAAAAACGACCCTATTCCAATCACGCTGAGTCCATCTGAGATGTCGTTGTGCCCAGATGAGCCGTTGACGTCGGTGTAACTGGATTAAAATTGGTCCACGATATGGCCGACGTGCATGGCGACGAGCAGTGCGCAGGCGATTACGTATTGTTTGGGCAGTCACGACCTCTAAACAATTCATTCCTAGTGGACGTTGCAGTGAGAAATCGATTGCGCAAATGACGTAAGACGATTTGTCGGTCTTCTGCTTGTGTCGTCACACGGGGTCTACCCGAACGAGGTCGGTCTGCTGTGGTGCCAGTTTGTTGGAGACGTGTCCTAAGATCATGGATAGTCCGTCGACTGCATCCCATAACCCTGGCAACGTCAGTGACCGACAGTCCCGTATTCAGCATGCCAATGGCACGTTCACGTTGAATGTTTGACAGTCGAGGCATTGGAAATCAACGGATAATTGACTGTAAGAACTTGTTTTTCCGAGATGTCACTCTACCATGCTAACTTGGGCTCAATTGCGCGTCTCATAAGGTCACGTGACTAGGAACAGGCGAAAACATGCTTTTACCATGATGTACGCTCGCACGTGCTGCATGCCTGTGCACGTCGGAGTTGGTGTGTCATGATGTCTTTGACAACGCATTTACCCCTAATAATAATAATAATAATAATAACTCTTGTATTTAGTTTCAAGAAAATATTTTAAAATGTATAAGTAAAGTTGTTGTTTTTTAATGAGTGTATGTGAGAGGCCGTGGAATGAAACACACGATATAGTTTGTCAATACCAGTTCAGTGCCAAGTATTAAGCCCCCGCTCTGTAGAAGGTCTCCACACTAAGTAAATGCAATATTTCGTTTTCGAAGTTGTGGACCTCGACATTTATTGAGCAGTGTTAGTGAGTGTACAGATCGGAACGTGCATATATTTGGGATATTATATTGAATTTAGTACTTGGTGTTCACCACAAACTTACCCAAATGTTCATGTTCCCTAACGGTTCGGTATATTATGTGCTTAAATGAAATCTTAAAATCCCAGTTTGCCAATGCCACCAGATGAATCCCTAATCTTTTTTTAGTTTCGCCTGCATGTGGCAGTAATGGTGTCGGTGACGCCTTGGTGACGCTTGTCACCGACATGGAAACTGGAGCTAAGGCCGTCTGTGCAGGGGATAAGACGGTGAACTTTGTCTCCAGCAATGGCGTGGAATTCACGTTACCGGTGTCGTACCCAGTTGCAGGTGGGGGATCTTCCCCTTGTAAATTTGTGGTAGGTGTATTCAGTAAAGTACTTTATTTCGTAGTAGCATGTCATGAATACAAGGTCCTATATATCTCATGTGTTCAGCAATAGGATCAGTTACTAGCTGTATCGAGGGACGGATCTAAATCGTGCACGTTACAGCTGTCTGATGTTCATAGCAACGTCGGGGCGGTGGTTAAGGCGTTCGCTCGCCACACCGGAGACCCGGGTTCGATTCTCCACATGGGTACAATGCTAAAAGCGGTGTAAAACTTAACTCCCTCACTCATGGCAACGCCGCCATTTTATCGCTACGATCAAACTTGATCCAGCTTCTGTTGGGTTGAAAAGTCTGTCTAGAGGGCCTACATTTAGAGGAACTGTACATTGTGACTCCGTAGGTATCCTACGTTGGAACTGATGTATGCGTTACGATTTGACCGATGGTTTTTTTGCTATTCCAGTAATCTGGTCCAGAACTCGTAAACGATATGATAAACTGGAAATGTGTATAAATGAGAGCGTATTTGTGCAATAATGGAACCGTTTAGCGCTTCATGTATTCATCACTGCATCGGTTTGTAAACCATCACCGTGTAGAAGCCCCTTCACAGCTACGTTCCCGCTGTTGCCTATTCAGTGGATATTGCCTTCCTTGTGTAAATCTTTTAGAACATAAACCTACTTGGTTTGGAGGGTAGGGAACAAACGGTATATCCGGCTGTAATGGAGTACAGTTATTTGGATGTGAGCAGTTTTTCAATGTACGTTCACTCAGACATGGAGTACAATGTGAACAAGGGCAGGACTTCAATTTCTTAAACTAAATGGTGCGTTGTCAGTACTTTGACTAAAAAGAAAGGGTATTTTTTTACCGAATTTTCATTTCCAACATTTGTTTTCAAATGTACTTTGCAGAAAAAGAAGGACGCACTGGTGTTCACCATCCGAGTGCAGGTGGGGTACGGTCGTCGTGGCAGTCGCCTCGTCCAGCATGATGAACGCTACACAATAACCTGCTCCTTTCAGCCAGGCGCCTCCAAAGAAAGTGGTTTGCTGTCTATTAAACCCGGGTAGGTCTCGTGACACAAGTGTTTGCAATACTTTAATGTGCCAGTTGGCCACCAGGACCTGCATACATCTGCAGGCTTTTTTTTTTTTTTTAAGTGAAACCAATACAAACAAAATAGACTACACTGTACAGTTTCACACTGTTTAATTGTCATAACTAGCATAACACTGGAAATGTGGAATGACATCAAATTCAAGTAGCTAGTAAGCTACAGTACGTATGCCAAGTCAAACATCTCCTGATCATCAGTCACTTTACTTTTATTAAAGACATTCCTATGCGTAAAGCGCTGAAACATCAGGAAGTGAAACTGTAAGCTATCGTAACATGATAGATCATGAACGATTCCTGAACGTTAATAACGAAAACAAATTATGGACATAAGTTACTGTAGGCCACAAGGGCCTGCAAATATTTTGGAAACAATATTATATTAACAGGCGCTGTTCCTCCGGGCCGTGGATTATTTCGAACGCGGCATGGCACTCCGCCGTAGTCGGGCCATATATCGTCGCTTTTTCAATATCAGTCCGTCAGGTGTTAGTTTGTTTCCATAACTGCATCAAACTTTGAGACCGTTCGCTGAGAATTGTGGATGGATTTTACTGCCTGGGGGATCTGAAATGACGCAAGCTGTGATGCTGACGGCCAAGTCTGAGGACGGAATGATTGTTTGGTCACTTCGGTTTTCTTTTCTTTTCGATATGAGAACTCTCACACTGTTACATCAAGTTCCCGTCTTGTCACGATTTTTCTATAGGTTGTCAGTGATATGCCTATGTTCTTGGGTATCAAAGGGATAAATGTCCAAGATCTGCTCAAACCGATTTCCTGTTTCTCTTTTATTGTGATACCCGTGAAGGTCCGGGTTAGAATGCACCTTCAGTAACCCATGCTTGTCGTAAGAGGCGACTAACGGGATCGGGTGGTCAGGCTCGCTGACTGGTTGACACATGTCATCGTATCCCAATTGCGTAGATCGATGCTCATGCTGTTGATCACTGGATTGTCTGGTCCAGACTTGATTATTTACAGACCACCGCCATATAGCTAGAATATTGCTGAGTGCGGCGTAAAACTAAACTCTCTCACTTTCATTGTCAGATCACAGAAACTGTCGCAATCGCTCTTGGTATTGGTTTGAAACGTCGCTCACATAACTGGAATTAGGTCACAAGTCAGTTGATGTTAGGTAACGTTGGTCGCGGAGAATCCTCGTATGGGCGACATTGCTTAGCAGCTTGACTCCTACCACCAACGAAGCACACGTGACACCTGTGGTCTCGCCTTAGGCAAAGTGATTTTGTTAAAAATTGCCTCTGTTCACCCAGCAGTGAACGGGTACCCGATGGGATAAGTCATGACTGTTTACCTTCGAGCGCCTCGGATGCAGCTTGTTATCCGGGGTAATGTTTCAACCCCATGAGCATGCGTAGAACAGGGGGCTATATAAATAGCCACTATTATTAGAATATGACGTCAGGAAGTCCACCTCTGTCCAAATGGTGAATGTTTTACATGTTATGTGAAAGCATTTGTTTGACAAATCAAATGTACTATTTTTGAAACCAATTTTGCAGATTCAAACCACCAAAAGTGATCGCCGGGAATAAGCCGCCTGTGAGTAAGTCTTCAATCCATTTGTACGTCGTTGATGTCATCGGGAGGAAACTTGGTGCCTCCGCACCAGCAGGCAAGATGGTGAGATTGAAGGCAGTCACTCTCGGTGAGTACAGAATACAAATTAAACATCTGTAAACAATTGGGTAATATCAAATTGTTTGGTTCTTGTAGCAGTTCTAGTCATGACATCGGAGTCGCGGGAATGTTTTACTGATTGTCTTGTCGCTGGGTGATCACTTGAAAATTGTGGTTTAGAATCGGCTGATTCTGGTCGTTCTATCGATTATTGACCTTTATGACGGTAGGTGAGAGGTTTAAGCCGGGTTTCCGTGTGCGCATAGTGCGTGATGCGTAGTGCGAAACCAACACTTTAAACTAAAATAGTAATAGTCGTTTCCATTTACGCGTGCTGCGTAGTGCGTGATTTTGCTTACGCTGAAAGTGTCCCAATACGCCGGAGACCGGAAGTAGGGATTCCCAAGGGGTTTCACCAATGTCACGTGGTTTTCATTGCACACACAAGTTGCAAAATTCCAAGGAATTGAATTCGGTACCAGAGATATTTCTTGAACTCGTTAGATGCAATCAAACCATCTAGGAAGGACCACAGATGTTACGAAGATCAAAAATATTTGGAATGCAATTACGAGGTTACTTCAGGAAAACGGTGACCAAGAAAGGACTGGTATTTTGTGGTGTGTAATTAATGTGATATATATATATATATATATATATCACATTATTACGTCTTGATAGTCTTTATCACGTTAAGTTGCAAAGTTCCCTTTTGAATGTACGTTCTTCAGAAAGCATTGAAGACAGCAATTATGATCAGTACGATCTCCAAGAAAAGACTTGATAAACGCGTACACATGGAACTGGACACCACGCCGAGGAACTCGGATAAACAGTTTGTAAATGTGGGTTCAAACGATTTTCAAAAAACTCCGCCCACTCCTGCGCCAGCTGCTTGACAAAGTGTTGCATTCTGTTATGACGAAATGTTGAACAGATTGTCCTAACTTTCTTCCAGGACTAAAGGACAAAGGCCTCCGTGCCGAATCGTGCGATGCTATGAATGCGAAGGGTGGCAGGTATCCTGTTCTGAGATCGGGGTGAGTTGACGCATTTAATGTTTGGGTACCATTGCTGGTAAGGATCTAAACGTAACGTCACATTGTAGACATGCCTGTCGAGTCTGGGTCATGAATCTTGCAATACAATGATGGATCACTGCCAACTGCGGGGTGCATGTGGGTGGTCTGACATAACAATCGGCCATATTGTCTTGCATGTCTCCAGCGTTTGTTCATCTTGTATTGAGGGGCGGTGAGGTAGCCTAGTTGTTCTAGCGTTCGCTCGTCACGCTGAAGATCCGGGTTCGATTCCCACATGGTTACGATATGTGAAGCCCATTTCTGGTGTCCCGCCGCCGTAATATTGCTAGAATATTGCTTATAGTGTTGTAAGACTGGTACTTGCACATGAAGAAGTGAATTTTACTGAAAATGGATAGTGGAATAATATGGGCGAATATTATAATAACCAGGTCTAACCTGACGCATCAACCAATTTCCACTGAACCACGCGGGGTCATGCAACAAGCTGTCAAATTGTAATCCTGCACGTCAAGTGACCAGTGCCATTTTTTTGTTTAGCCACCATCACGTGTGCAGAACTTTCTGGTGATTAGAAAAACAAAGACGTTAACAATCCTTCAGATAAAGAATTCTCATGTCACGCAGTACAAATGGTGAACGTGCAGTTGTCCTGCTCCAGGCTGGCCAGACTACTGTGGCTGCTGCACGTGTCGCGATATGCAATAGGCGGACAATTCACAAACCGAGGTCGTTATTTCCGATTTATTTTATCCTGGTGTGAATCGTCCCTAACGTTTATTGGGCCGTTCTGTTTGTGGTCCAAAATCCATTTTCATTTCAGATGTGGAAATGGAATGGTTTTAAAGAAGACAAAAGGCTTCCTTACTATTGGGAAGACCACCTACAGTTATTTCTTTAAGCTCTTCACTGTCAATGGGGATCCGTCTCTCAGTTTTGTGTGTAACTTCACGGTGTGTGATACAAAATGTAATGGGGTAAGTACACGTTCTAGAAACCTGACCGCCTCCGTGGTGTAGTGGTTAGAGCGTCCGCCCGGAGAGCGGAAGGTGGCGGGTTCGATCCCCGACCGCGTCAAACCAAAAGACGTTAAAATATGGTACATGTTGGTCTCTGCCTGGCGCTCGGCATTAATGGGTACAACAAGGACTGGTCGGCTCGGAGTCAGTATAATGTGTCTGAGTGGGGTATTCATGCTTCACTGCGGCATGGTATCTCAGTGGGCTAGCACTATAAAACCAGCTTAAGTCTGGGCTAGTACAAGCAGCCGCACATACATACACGCGCATGCACGTCGTCATATGAGCGAAATATTCTCAAGCACGACGTTAAACCCAATTTCACCTCACCTCACCTAGAAACCGGCCCTTTGATTCTGTCGAACAAGTGTTAGTTACCCGTGTAATTGATCGGGTTTGTGTCTGATCGATATCCGTGGAAGGTATCGATATCCGTGAAAGGTATAGGGCTTGCCGGGATTTCTCACGAGTACAGAAAGTCATGTTTTAGATACAGTTTGACTATGCCTGACGTTCCTACAAGGGGTGCCCCCAATGGGCGTACCTTTATGTACTTGGTGGCATGTAATCCTCAAAATGAGGACATAAACACCTTACGTAATTTCTTCGATGCTCATGCCGTTGATCACCTGACTGTCTGGTCCAGACTCGATTATTTACAGACCGCCGCCATATAGCTGGAATATTGCCGAGTGCGGCGTAAAACTAAACTCACTCACATTAATACATGTTGGGAGATAAAATGGCCAATATACCAAGCTAGGTCGCCAATAAACGAAACACGCGGGCATCCCATTCCATCCTCATTGGAGAGATATGTAATGGCGGTAATTTTAAGTTTAAAGGATATTATGGTCGCTAGATATGGATTATAAAGCGCATGCAATCTGACGGCGATGGTCTGCGGCGTAAAGCTAAACTCGCTCACGTAATTTCTACACGTGGCGGCGCGTGGTCCTGTGCTTAAAGCTCAGGTCACAAATCGGTGAAGTTAAGCAGCGTCGAGCTCGGAGAGTCCTTGGATGGGGACCGTGTTTGGCAGCTTGACTCCTGAGAGTTTCTAGGACTTGAGTCCTGCCCCACAACGAAGCACATGTGATACATGTGGTCTCACCTTAGGCAAGTGAGTTTGTTCAAAATTGCCTCTGTTCACCCAGCAGGAAAATGGGTACCAGGTGGGGAAAAAAGTCATATGACTATAACCTTCTAGCGCCTAACAGGCAGCTTAGGTTATCCGGGGTAATAATGGCCTTGATTGTTAGCGCTATGAGCATTCCTAGTGTGGAGTTTGGCGCTATATAAATGGACACATTATTATTATTATTATTATTATTATTATTACACGGAAACAATACGTTGGCATGGAAATATATACGTTAACGAATTCGAAATTTCATTAAATAATGAGTTATATTGGGTCTACAACCCAATACCAGCTACTGCAACGTTATTGCAATCACAAAACTCAATTCAGTGACAGTATATTGCTATTACTGTTATATTACAAAGTCTGTTATACTATAATTCTTTCTGTAAAACAGTGGTCAGGTGTCCAAATTAGGCCGAGGTGGGATATCTCGGTCGAAGAATCTGTAAAATCCCCTTGTCTATATTTTTGCGATATTGGCTTGTCTTTTGTCGTAAAGACAGCATATCCTCCCAGAATTTAGTGAACTTGGAAGATTCTATACACTAGTTAACCCCAAAAACATGTGAATACCTTCTTGCATACAGTAACCCGTGAAGATCCGGGTTAGAATTGGTCTTCAGTAACTCGTGCTGGTCGTAAGAGGCGACGTGACTTGGTTGACACGCCATCGTATCCAAGCTTCCTAGATCGATGATCAGGCTGTTACTCGAGTCCATACCGCCGCCATGTAAGCCGTGTGACGTTAAACGACAAATATTAGTCTAAATAATTAGAAATGTATTCCTGTGTTGATAGATTCTACTGAATCGAATCGAATCGTCTGAGAAACGGTGTAACAATTTCAAGCTTTCACTAATCTCCTGTACTGCTGTAAGACTGCTTATAATGGTTGCTCTGGATATGGAGAGAATCGGTTTGACATTTACTTCTGTTGCGCATTTGGGGCGGTGGGTGAGATTGATAGTTAAAGCGTCCGCTCGTCACGCTGAAGACCCGAGTTCGATTTCTGGTGTCCCCCGTCGTGATATTGGTACAATATTGCTAAAAGCGGTGTAAAATCATACTCACTCACTGAACATTTCCGTTCCAGCCGTCGTGTTTTGCGAAGGCATCGGGACGCAGACGCCGAGATCAGCCAGGTATTGTCAACAGTTCAATGGGAAAGTATTGACGTTTTTTAATGAATAAGTGTTCCAAGTAGAAACGAGTCCATGGGAATATTTCCACTAAAGTACTGTCGGAAATGCTAGAAAAATGCTTTTTGAGTTATATTTAAAATTCAGAGGTATTACATTTACTTAAATAACAAATATCACTTTAAGAAACGTCTACCTAATGTAGACCGAGGGAATAATTTTGAGACATGCCCTAAAATGCGTTTTTACTGATGAAAATACCAAAAACTTAGAAAAATAAGGGGTAGGGGGACGTTATTTGATACAAACATTAACTGCCTGTGTTACGTCATCGGCATGCACGGTATCGACAGGTGAAATTGACACCTGAGCACACGCTCGGTGGAGGGGTCATCTCAATAGATGTTTTCTTCAAATTGTTGAATATGTGTACGTATAGTATACGTATTGGTTATGAGGGGATCATTTGTGTATGTGGGTTTGTTGTGAAATAAACATACGAATTACTGTACCTTGGAAAGAATCCTATCACTTGTGTTATCTTATCGATTGATTGTAGAAATGTGCAACGTTTTAATAAATGTTTTGCATGTCAACAGTATATTTCATTGCAAAAATATGGATGTAATTCAGTCAGTTTAATCTAGTTGTGAACATTGGCCAAAGATTTAACGAAGTCACTGGTGTAGCTTCTTTAGAATATATATATTTTTCTTCTCCTAAAGTTTGTAGACCGCCCGTCTAAGAACTCCCTTGTCAAAGTTGTCAAGGATGGTTTTACGTCCCGGTTTTGCATTTGAGACGGTCCCTGTCTTGTCTGATTTGTTTACAATATTGTAAACTTGTTGGTAAGACATACCAACAGCTCTAAAAGTTCTGTTTTAAACCATTTCTATACTAATGAAAGGTTTACCTCTGTATTTTTCAAGCACAAAAAAACTTATAAACCTTTGCAACAATCGTCTGCAAATAGTTGGCCATAGTGAAGGCTGTGATAAAGATGTGCATGCATGACGGGAAACTTATTTATCAAGACTTAACATTTATATTAATATTTCTTCAATAAAGAAACGATAATTAAGTAAAGTAACACAAACATTCAACATTTATTTGTTTAAGAAAAACGTTTATTTATATTTTTACACCACCTGTATTATTAGCATAAATGTAAAGACTATTTCAGATTTCTGTTGTTGAACTCTGAAATCTTAAGTTGTTGTTTTGGTACCAAATTCTCTCCTGTAGACTGTCCTTTAAATCCATGGGAATGTTAAATCAATTAAAATAAAAATTAGGTACACTATAGGTGAGTTGATATATTGACAACATAGTACATTTATCACCTATGTAAAGATATTAAGGCTAAGAAGCATTTTTCTAGCATTTCCGACAGTACTTTAGTGGAACTGAGCACAAAGGCGCAATGTCGCTATAGTAACCGATCCTTGTAATGCTATTGGATAAGAAGCCGGACATTGTGTACCGGCGAAAGAGGACATTGTATAAGATTACATGAACATGTTTTCTACTCTGCCCGTTAATTCTAGAAACTGTAGTTGCTGGGGTTTCAGTTTTCCTAGCATATTTCCATGATGGCAGAACAAACCTTCCCAGTCAGCATAAGCCCGTAGAACCAGCACCTAGTGTACTTGAGGCATCTCGGGACATCTAGCTCCCAGATCATATTTGACGTTAACCATATTACTCCTGTTCAAAGAATTGTTTATTTGTTTCAGGTGAGAGTATTGGAACATTTCTGTTGGGTTCGAAGGGCCATGTCGCGAACGCAGTGACGTTGACTAGTGATCCTGTTAACGTCCAGAAGATAATGGCCCCAGTTCAACTGCTCAAAGCTCACCGGCCACGTGTTCAACGCAACCAGTAAACTGTACCTAATTGGTGGTTGGGTTAATAAAATTATAAAAAAACAATTACAAGAAGTCTCTGCTCTATATTTGACCATATACATTATAGATAAATAATGAAATGGTAACCCCTCTTTAGGCAAACAGCCACTTCAATCTAACCTTATGCACTTGATATATGAGTAACCATAAAAAATGGTTTTCATGCCACAATCAACCGTTTTTGCAAATCATGGAACGAGTCATTGACAAGTACAAAACACCTGTGAATAGCAGGTATGGGATCCACAAGATGAAATGACATACTGAAACCTAGGAACCATGCTTACAATAAGTTTAGATATTTAAACCAAATTAGACCCCCACAACATGAATAGTATATAATGGCATTTGTAATGGCCGAGGACAACACCGGCCGCGCAAATATTGGCGAGTCTAAGTTTATTGCCCTTAAACCTAAAATCTTGCATATTGGCGCCCCAGTTTCGTAACTCGTGCACCGAAACACGGCAATATTAACATTGGCGCCCTACATCTGGATAGCACGGTATGCACGATATACGATATACGTTATGAATAAGCTCTGCTGTGCACAGACAGCGTATTGGTGTGGTACAGAACAGAGGAAAATATCTTACTGCATCCATTTCACCAGATGTTTTCAACCATATCAGGCGAATGGGTTTCTTTATTTACTCAAAATACATTTTCCGAAGCTACAACTTTAAATTGAAAGTGCCATTAATTCAGATTTTAAGGAACCTTTGAGTGTAAGTATTTCGAATGTCAAGTTTGATACCCCCTCTGCAAGGAGACAAATCATGTAGATACAGTTGAGAATAGTTCTTCGGATGAGGAATTGCTGCGTGAGTCGCAAACCCAGAACCGGCATTTGACCAAAAGAATAGTACAGCAGATGATGAACTGATGCTTGTTTCTCGGCAGATAGAAAAAGAAGATGATCAAACAACTACCAAACGTTTTGAAAACCCCCGTTTCTGATGATCAAACAACTACCAAACGATTTGAAAACCCCCGTTTCTGATGATCAAACAACTACCCAACGTTTTGAAAACCCCCGTTTCTGATGATCAAACAACTACCCAACGTTTTGAAAACCCCCGTTTCTGATGATCAAACGTGGAAAAACTTGCAAAAAATGAAAACACAGAAGAAAGCAAGTGGACAGTGCGGATTTTCGATTCATGGCAACATGAATGGGATGGGTTTAAATCCCAGTTAGGCAGCAAATTATCTGAGGGTAATGTTAATAACTCGCCATTCCTGAAAAATGGCGCCGAGGCCCACTATTAAGGAATGGAGAGTTGCAAGGATATTACCCTTCATAAATTACAAAGTATTGGTAATTAAATGTCAGTGAAACTATCAAAGTCTTACGTTTGAAACTGGTACACATCGCCCCATTCCTGAAAAGTATTGGAGCAAGCAGACCATGGAATGACGTCACAAATTTTATTTAAGATATTCTGAAGATCTGAATAGAGAGCTGAGTCTGTCAGTGAGTCGGGTTTTATTCCGATATTAAGGTACCTTTTAGTCTGTCAGTGAGTCGGGTTTTATTCCGATATTAAGGTACCTTTTAGTCTGTCAGTGAGTCGGGTTTTATTCCGATATTAAGGTACCTTTTAGTCTGTCAGTGAGTCGGGTTTTATTCCGATATTAAGGTACCTTTTAGTCTGTCAGTGAGTCGGGTTTTATTCCGATATTAAGGTACCTTTTTACTTGTTGAACCGATACAAGCTCAAATAATCAGGGCTGCACAAAACATTTGTTAAACATTCTAACATTAAATCCTATAGATCTTGCTATTCCAACAAAGTCTTCATCCAACACAGATGGGAGCAATCTACTTGAAATACACTTATCTCAATATCAAAAGTTGTTGGAGAGATTGTTCCGAATCGTGGCCAACTATGCAATTTTTACAAGTAAATGATGTTGACACTGAAACTTCACAGCAGTATATGTGGTCAAACGACAATATCACCTTAGGTCAAAAACCTATTTATAAACTGTACTTGAAGGGAAAGACCGCCTCCGTGGTGTAGTGGTTAGAGCGTCCGCCCGGAGAGCGGAAGGTCGCGGGTTCCATCCCCGACCGCGTCATACCAAAAGACGTTAAAATATGGTAATTGTTGGTCCCTGTCTGGCGCTCGGCATTAATGGGTACAACAAGGACTGGTCGGCTCGGAGTCAGTATAATGTGTTTGAGTGGGGTATTCATCCTTTACTGCGGCATGGTATCTCAGTGGGCTAGCACTATAAAACCAGCTTAAGTCTGGGCTAGTACAAGCAGCCGCATATACACATACACACGCATGCACGTCGTCATATGAGCGAAATATTCTCAAGCACGACGTTAAACCCAATTTCACCTCACCTTGAAGGGAAATGTTAAATTTATTAATGGTCTACTGAAAAAAGAGTAATTTTCTGACATATGAGGTGTTTATTTCCTTATACAATATTAAGACTCTTTTTAGAACATGGGAGTATCATCAACTTAATCAAATCATACCTCCTTTACTCTGTGTAAAGCAGAGGAGCCATTTATTCCTAATAATATACATATTATTCTTTACAAAGAACATAAAGGATACAAGATTTTCTACTGTCCTGTAAAGGAAGCATGCATGACAAGAAAAGCTAAATAGTCAACTTCAGGGATATCAAAGTAGATATATCAGAACAACTCTGGAAAGTTTTTAACAATGTACCTTTCAGAACAACTTGTAATTCACAATTCAGATGGCTTCAATATAAAATTGTCCAAAGAATCATTACAACAAACAAAGATTTATTTAACTATAAACTGACACAATCTGCTTCTTGTACATTTTGTAATGTTACAATCGAATCAATTATCCACATATTTTGTGAGTGTGTACATGTGAAACGCTGTGGCAACAACTGAATGCCTGGATTGAACAAGATACAGGCACAAGATTAATTCCGGATGCAAAACATATACCTTTGGATATAAAGAAATACGATATGATATATTAACCCTGATTATCATCGCAGCAAAATACTATATATATGCAAAGTGATATTCTAATTCACATCCACAGTTTGTTGTATTAAAAGATTACCTCCACACCCTGTACGAAATTTACATATTGACTGCCTTTTCGCACTCTAACTGCAATAACGTCTTCACCTTTTGGTCATCCTGCCACAACCTCTTCACACAAATTACGATAAAAATGTGTTCTCCTGGCCTTGTATCACCCTACCGATTATCTACCACCCGTGTCCATACTTTGTGTATTTACATGTACCACAAACGCAACAATTATGTACCCATCATAAAGAAATAAAGTGATTTTAAAGTCTGTTCAAAATCTAAAACTGTACACTTCGTTGTGGAACGCGGCTGTGCTAGAGTGACATTTGATATGTAATAAACTGATGAAAACATTTTGAGTTTTTGTTTCTGTTATGGGGGTATTACTGTTTGGATTCAGCGTTAGGACCTGGCCAGTATTTGAAAGTGAGGCGCCAAAACAGGAGATAAAGTTGCCAATATACCAAGCCAGATCGCCAATAAACGAAAGACACTGGCTTCCCATTCCATCCTTATTGGAGGGATATGTTGCGTAATGGAGGCAGTTTTAAGTCTAAAGGATATTATGGTCGCTAGACATTGATTATAAAGCACACACAATCTGACGGCGATGTTTCAACATGCATTAATAGGAGTGAGTGAGTTTAGTTTTACGCCGCACTCAGCAATATTCCAGCTATCTGGCGGCGGTCTGTAAATAATCAAATCTGGACCAGACAATCCAGTGATCAACAGCATGAACATCGATCTACGCAATTGGGAACCGACGACATGTGTCAACCAAGTCAGCGAGCCTGACCACCCGATCCCGCTAGTCGTCTCTTACGACAAGCATGGGTTGCTGAAGGTCAATTCTAACCCGGATCTTCACGGGTTGTATCAATAGGAGTGAACAATACAGAATTGCGCGATGAGACTTTGCGATCCTTGGTTCATATCCATGACCGCCCAGTTACGTTTATCCACGTTTGTCAACTCCAGTGTTGTGTTTAACCAGTATCCAAGCAACTTCGAGCTACATAACTGCTTGTGTACCTCCCACAACAAGCTCTCATGCCGTGGTATGACTCCCGCAACAAGCTCTCATGCCGTGGTATGACTCCCGCAACAAGCTCTCATACCGTGGTATGACTCCCACAACAAGCTCTCATGCCGTGGTATGACTCCCACACCAAGCTCTCATGCCGTGGTATGACTCCCACACCAAGCTCTCATGCCGTGGTATGACTCCCGCAACAAGCTCTCATACCGTGGTATGACTCCCACACCAAGCTCTCATGCCGTGGTATGACTCCCGCAACAAGCTCTCATACCGTGGTATGACTCCCACAACAAGCTCTCATGCCGTGGTATGACTCCCACACCAAGCTCATGCCGTGGTATGACCCACACCAAGCTCTCATGCCGTGGTATGACTCCCACACCAAGCTCTCATGCCGTGGTATGACTCCCACAACAAGCTCTCATGCCGTGGTATGACTCCCACACCAAGCTCTCATGCCGTGGTATGACTCCCACAACAAGCTCTCATGCCGTGGTATGACTCCCACAACAAGCTCTCATGCCGTGGTATGACTCCCACAACAAGCTCTCATGCCGTGGTATGACTCCCACAACAAGCTCTCATGCCGTGGTATGACTCCCACAACAAGCTCTCATGCCGTGGTATGACTCCCACACCAAGCTCTCATGCCGTGGTAACACTGAAGGCAGGGTGAAGACGGCGGAATACAAACTCGCTCATTTTCGACACAGACACGCATAACATTTGCAGACATAGTTCAGTGATGTTCCTCTCAACAACAGAGCTGGCTCATATTAAATGACCCCATACTGTAACCATAAATTAATTAATGTACGCTGACGTAATGGTTGGTCGTGGTTTGTTTTTTGGTTTTTCTATAAAGGTTGAAGCATGCCGCGGTTGTTGTACAAGCCTAGTAAGGTTTGATCACGTCGTCACAATGTAACTGAGTCGCCGAAACAGATTGTAGCGTGCACGATGTGCGACTGGAGTGCAAAAGCCTCACCCTACAAAAACTCGTCACACGTTTCCTAGTACACTACAATGGCTAACTGACTCGTTAGAGTGAATTTTAAACTGAACATATTTGAAGATTCTGAAGATTTTGCAAGGCCTAGTTATACACGTGAATCTTATGCGAAAGAAGTGACTTTTGTTGTCGGTCAAGCACCGATGGGTGTGTGAGTGAGTTGAAATTTATAGTCACATTGGCAATATTTCAGCCATATCGTAACTAAAAACAAGTGATAATTTCATAATATATAAAGGTAAATTATAAAACCCTGTAGACGAAGGACAGTAAAACAACTAGAGTAACACAGAGATCAATTTAAAACTAGTAGGTAAATCTAAAACATATAACTATGGATGACAATACAATATAAGAACAGACTATAGATTGCCAGTAACCGAAGGTAGATCACCATACTAAGTACCATGGGGACTTGCAGTACATTTGCTTCCTACATGGACCAAGCCCCGATGAGGTCATGTTGCGAGATGTATTGGTCAATCGGTTGACGGTTTCTACTAGCAGATGAGGACGATCCTGGTACCCCATGTGATGAAAGGCTCAACGTCAGGCATATGTTGTGTGGTCTTTCAGTGTTAAGGGGTTCACATTGTTTCCGTTTGTTGGGTGCTGTTTTCCGTTGTAAATGGACGTCTCTTCGTACGAAACTTGAAAAAAAATGTTCTGCTTCATGTAAATATGCATGTGTATCATTTATTCCTTTTTTATGTGTGGTGAGACATCTGTGGTTTAATCAGATTATTGAAGCCAAAACCGAAGATGTTGAAGTACCCTTTGATAAGATATAAGATTGTCCCCATATGTGGAAATAAAAGTCCTCACTTTCACTCCGTCTCATTTGAGACCGATGAATTGCTCACTAACACAAAATCTAATTAATGCAACAAAACCAAATTTTGCAGTCACATGAAATCGACAGACGAACTGAGATGATTTGTCTCATAATTTTGGATACCTGAATCAAAAGTTGTTCTAACAAACGATCATAATTTTGTTGTCACTTATCCCTATTTTTACTGGGGTGGGGGGGAGAGGGCCGCACTTGCAGAGTAATCAACAACCGTGTGTAGTGTAATTTCAATATCACACGTGCAACTCGCACACCCTGCCCCCTCTCGTAAAAAATAGCTATAAGTGACAACAAAATAATTATCGTTTTTTCAACACCTTTTTTGGCTTTGGTGCAATTAATGGATTTTGTGTTATGAGCAATTCATCGGTCTCAAATGAAATCAAACGGACTGTAGTGTGTTACACCAGCTCATTGCTGAGATATGTTAACCACTCTCTGATGTTGCGCACAACCAGTACCTAGACTGATGACGTCAGTCCAGCTGCGGGA